CCCGCAGCGCCCTCTGGTGGCGGGACATGGGAGCGCACCACAGCCCCCACCATGGCCTTCAGGGTCGGAGGTCACTGCCATCTCTATGCCCACCACGCTGCTTTCAGGGCCAAAGTCTTCTGGGGGAAAAGGTGACCGACGCTGACAACGACAGTGATCCTCTCCTGCCCCTTGTCCTCACCCCTGGGTACCGTGCACCAGGGCACACCCTTGGGGACCCCGCCCCATTGCCCAAACCTCCATCTCTCTCCAGCCCCACTTCTCTCCTGGAATGCTGGACTCGTCAGTCCACACTCACTTCACTAAGATGACCACGTCCCACAGGCAGCCCCCCATCTCTCCCTCCCACCGCCCCCCATACTGCCCCTCCTAGAATCTTCCCAGCTCAGTAAACGGGGCTCCTTCCTTCCAGGCAGGGCCAGACTCTGGAGGCTGCCCGTCACCCCCGTGTCCAGTCGTCAGCCCATCCTATGGGCTTTGCCATCCAAATGCGCCTGAGTCCTGCACTTCCTGCCTCACCGCCCCTCCAGGCCCGGCTATCACCATCTCCTGCCTCTGACCGGCTTGCACGCCTCTGCTGACTGCTGTCCCCCAGGCCTGAGCCTGTCCACACTCGCCAGACTCCCCACTCAGGCCCTCGATGGCTGAGCTCCTGTTGAGCACAGGAGGTCTGGGGATACCCGTGAGTCCTTCCCCCTTCCTCTGCCCACCCCGCCCCGCCTGTCCTTGACCCCACTGTCTGCTCCAGCCTCTCACCTACCCTCCTCAGCCCAGAATGCTCCAACACAGTGGCCTGCTCACTCGTACCTGACCATGTTACTGACGATGTCACGGATGTCCCCCTTCCCAGCACGTCCAGTCCTTGCCTCCCTCTCTACCTGAGGGTCCTGTCCATCTGACCTGGCTGAATCTGACCTGTCGCACCCCCACCCTCCCCAGGGCTGGGACACTGGAGTGGGCAGGGCATGCGGGAGACACTCAACCGTCGTCCAGGTGAATAAATGAAACGCCTCACGATCCTGGTCACCGTGAGCACCCCTCCTGGTTTCCAGCATTTCCAACTGAGGATCCACCTGCATCTGAGCTCGTGACTATTTACAACCCTAAATGAGTGCGTGCCAGGTGAGGGGTGTCTGGCGGCGGTGAGCCCG